ATTTGACTGGCCTCTGTTGAAAAAGAGCAAGGGTCATGCATTGTATTTCGTAACGGAACTAATGGGATGTGTGCGGCAGGCTGTAGAGCTCCCAAAAAGCTAAAAGCAGTCCACTTTTTAGTTGGCCTCCGTCTCTGGTTTGTCCCCATCCTTGAGTTTGTCTCCATCTCTGGGTTCGTCTCCATCTCTGAGTTCGTCTCCATCTCTGGGTTGCCACCATCTCTGGGTTTGTCTCCGTCTCTAGGTTTGTCTCCGTCTCTGGGTCTGTCTCCGTTTATTCACGTACACAATCGGCGAATCCCTGTCTACGAATCAGCGGTCCGATTGCTCTAGTCTGATTTGCTGTGCCGTTTGGACTGTTAGTGTACACATATGTCTAATGGAGACCTTTAGTGCTTAAGCACTGTATGCTTGCATGAATTTTTTCATGCACGAAATTGTCATTGTATGAAATTTCTATGCATGTATACTGAAATTTCTACGTATGAGAAGATAGAAAGATGCAAGTGCATGCGATCTTGTTTCGTTAAGCGATGGAACTTCTATGGACGAATTGTTCTGGACCTATTTCGGGATCCATTTCTAACCTAGCCTATCCTTACCTAACCGTCACTCATGAGAATCTCTGGCCGATCCTACCTCTGCCAGGATGCCCGACGGGAGCTGGGTGTGATGGGCTGACCGCCAGAGACGTAAGTGGATCATGGGAAACAGACTTCATTAATAAGCCAGCTTTTCGTGAGGCATCATGAGTTGAATCGCTTTTAGCCTTGATGGAAACCACTGAGTGACATTCCGATCCTCCCTCGCCCTCTTTATATGCGTTTGCAAGCTGGAAAGTGGCTGGTTCAAATACCTGAAGAATTAGATTTCATCTGTTTGAAAAAAAAGACAGTCCTAGGCCTATGGGGACAGCATCGATTCGAACCTGAGCTAAGCTCTGCTATAGCGCTGGCCGATTTCACGCCATCTCGTCATACGTCGAAGCTGATGATGAATAACAAAGCAGTAGAAATAAATGATTCGGAAAAAGCGTCCGAGATAGTTTTCTGTACAGAGCACAAAACCTGCTTACATCAGCGGTTATCCAGCTTTCGTAACTTGCTTTCTAGATTTCCACTACCGTTGGAGCACTGTAAGACACTCTAAAAGCTCAAGAGGGCACTTGCTACCACTGCAAATGCCAGATCTCCCTAATTTCGCTTCTGCCACTTGTCAGTGCTGCTGCATTGTTTCTGTAGTATCATTTCTACATTTCTGTACTGTATCGTCTTTAGTGATACTAAAACACGCCTCGCGAAGCCAATGGAAGGTCTGCCCTGTCGTAGAAGTGAGTTTCGATGAAAAATGTCTGCATTTCTTCGGTCCCTTGTCACACCCGTTCCATTTTTTGTACACGATGTGTATCCCTGTCTTTGCCTGATGTCTTTCCCTGAGCGATGCCTTTGAGTGTCGCGATGGCTCACCTTTATTGCGACAACAAACGAGTGAATGAACGAATGACGGCTACCGAACACCGACAACATGCGGCTTGTTGGCGTTTCATTGCTTTACTTAAATTTCTTGCTAGCGGCTATTGTACGATCGATCGGTGCAATTTTTCGCGACGCAAAAATGTGAGGTAGCAGCCCTCCAGGAAAAGCTGGTGTATGGACGGGACAGGGCGCAGAATGACGAATGAATGGCTGGGAAATGCAGTCGATGAATCAGTGCATGTTGTGATGTGAATTTAGCCACGATCCTGGCGAGAATTCCGACGGCAGCAAGTTGCATTCAAAGACTTTTTCGGAGTGCCAACATTCCTGGCTTGCCCTACGAGCATGGGCGCAGCCGTGTCTTGCAAAAACTCGTGTTGGTCGCATATATTGAGGACGGTTCGTCGGCCGATACTGTGAAATTGGATCCGCGTCTATTCTCGGTCCGGCTATCCAACTCTGGTAAAAACCGATCAAATTTATCTCGGCCGCTTTTGTGCACGTGCCATATAGCACGTGTTGCAAAAATCTGACACCACACGATTAACCGTTCAATAATCTATCAAGGCGGGTCAATTCATTGTCACTTCGACCGCTACTTGCTCAAATGTGGCCGCGATTTCGAACGGCTGCTCCTCGGCTTTGCCGTCGGTGACATTTTCGGGCCGCCTTCGCAAAACCAGTGGGTCTAAAACCGCCCTTCCACCACGTGCCACGCCCGACCCTCCGGAACGCAGCGGCTCTTGTTCCAGCTGTGTACAAACGCCTCGCGTGTCCGCGCGTCGTGTCCGGACTTCGTCACCCTGCGACCCACCGGTCGACCCGTGCACGACGCAACGCAAAACGGAATAGACCCCCAGCAAATAGCATCTAGACAAGCGAGGCCCGCCCGCTTGACTGGGCGATTATCGATGTTTTTTTAGGTGTACTTATGTCTTTTGGCTGTTCCAATTCAGCCAGTTTATCAGCCATCTCGCCTTTGCATATTAGCTCTTTCTTTAGAATTTAACAACAAACGAATGTGAAGAGATATCATGGCAAACCCAACAGTTTTTTCTCTTATATTTTTTACTACTTTTGGAATAATTATATTTTTAGATAATAAAATATAATAATCCTTAAATGCTTTTGTTGGCAAATCGCATAGCTTCATTGTCAGGTCATTTTAAATTTCAAAACTCAACATCAGTGGTTTGAGATAATTTCAAATAAAACTTGGATCAAACGCCCCTAGCATAATAAATCGTAGCATGTCGCATGTAATCGGCCGAGCCGAAGCCGCCTGTTACCAGATGTGCGACACTGGTCACCCGTCTCGCTCCGCTCGCAACATTGTGACTGAGGCAAGTGAACACACTGACTGGGCAGATCATGCTGATAGTTTGAAAAGTGACAGCATCGATACACGGATATGGCGCCAATTCAAACCTGAGACAAACATTCGCATAGTGCACACAGCCGCCTGACCATATCATCATGCAGCCAAGCCGATGAGAAACAAGGCCTTTGGGACACAGATAAATGATTGCTACCCGACCCTCAAGCCAATTTTTCGGAGTGGCACAGCGGCGTAGATCCGTTACGGCTTCGACGAAAATTGGACAGCATCCGCTGACAGCCTCGCCCCTTTTTCTTTTTCATTCCCGCGCGCTGCAGACAGGTTAAGCCATGCTATTGTGGTTTATTTACACCATAAATCGATATGGACATCCTTAGCTTAAATCAGGATCAATCACCCACAAGCGTAGAAAACTTGAAAGTTACCGACGCATTCCTGCGGCCAAACTGGTGCAATGCCAAATTCCGCTACGCACATGGCGGAATTACACGTTTAATTTCGTCACAAGAACGGAAAGCTTGGAATAAGCTTTCAAAAATAGTATGACGTGCCTAGGTGTGGTATCCCATAATCTTGCCGCCCAGCTAGTTAGACCCCAATCTCAGCGGCACACAACCGCCGTGACATGTCAGCCCAGGCGCAGAGCTGTGACCGACATTCCTCATACGCCTGCTTTCCATGTTGAAGTCAAATATTCGGCTTCCAGTTGCTGCTCTTCAAATTCCTGCTGCGTTTGGGGCCTTGTGGTGCATTCCAGACGCTTCCATAACATGTTCTGACTCTGCTATGTCAGCCCCCATCTACGAGTGCTGCCGCACCTTTTATGACCTTGCATACTCCGCACATATTGTAAAATGAAGGCAGAATATACTTTGCGTGCCGTTTTCCCGAGGCACCATGCTTTCCAAGATAACAGCTGACCCAATAAATCTTCTGGCGCTAACTGTTGGAAGTCGTTTTTCCCTCTATGCAGATACCTTGTCTTTTTATTTGTGCAACTGCCAGCATGACCTTGTCTTGAAATGCCGCATTCTCTTAACATCGCCACCTTGTATGATCTCTGAAATACCTTTCAAAGGGATATCATGTTCCGTCCGCAACGAATGCATGAACTGAAGCTGAATAAAAATCGATGGTCGTCAGCGATCTAGGAACTACGTTATCCGTCGTTTTTCTTAAGTAACTCGACAGCGGGGACTGCGCGATCGATCGGCGACATTTCGATCTCGCGAGGAAGCGGAATTGTCAAGCCTTGGATAGACTTTACATTTGAACGAAATAGTGCACGAAATGATAAACAAATGGGTACTTAATACGGCCAATGGATCCACGCATGCGGTGATACAAAGCTCAATACGATCCAGGCGATTGCTGCGACGACAGCGCGTCGCATTCGACACCGTTCTTCAAAATGCCGCTATTTCCGGCTTATACGACAGACACAGCCGCGCGTCGCACGAACTCGTGCGGACTGCGACTGCGCGGATTGAAGGCGGTACATCGGTCACCGCTTCGAGGCTGGACTGACGCCTGCACCGGCTCTGACTGCCGGGGTGTGTCTTAAAACATGAAAACGGTCAAAGCCGAGAAAACCTGTGCAGACTGCTGCTGTGTAAGTGACACGTGGCACGTGCGCCGTCCCCTGCGTGACGGCACGCAACTCCCCCCCCCCCCCCCCCAGTTCCCTACCAGAGCGCGTCGAGTTGGCGTCGCTCCGGCCGGCGGTCGCCGGAATGTAGCCGCGGTTTTGAACAGCCACTCACCGGATCCGAGGCCAGTCGATGACTCAGGCCGCCCATGCCAAGCTAATGAGCTAACAAATCTTACTGCCGCACGATCCACGCGTCCGCACATTGACAGCACCGGTGCGAAACCCGTCACGTGGCGCTGTCTTGAGTGCTCGTGCACCCTGCCAAATCTGCACTTTTAAACGATCCACTGTTTGATCCGCACACGGCTCAAAAGGCAGAAGATGACAAATAGATCGGCAGACGGACGTACCTCTTTAAAATGTTATGGAGATAATTTTCCAATGTGAGCATGAACGATAGTGCATGCTCATCAATGACAATTCACAACAAATGGGTATCAAGGCAGGATTTCCCCCAGCTTGTTTACGGCGCAAGCAGCGTGGAAGGACTCGTGTATATCAGGCGGTGTCTTTCCTTCATGTAAGTTGTTGGCTGTTTCAGGTCCAAACTCACAATCTGTTTATTGAAACACAGCAAGACAGTAATCGGCAGCACATCAAAACCATTTACTTCACTTAATAACAATCATCTGCTAAACCGCAAAGGGATCAAATCAAATCGCCACGGCACAACACAAAGATAACAATGTAACAACACATATTGCATCTACTAGCATTCAGTTTACTTACCAACTTAATAAAAAACACTTGAACTGCCATCAAGGCAAACAGTAATGCATTGCAATTAGCTACGAAGGCATCCACAGCCTTTGATTAACTCTGGTAACTGTGAAACAAAACGAGAATAATGTTGCTCCAGGGAGGCTTCAGGATTAGCCACGTCTAATAATAGCATTAGGTAGTGCTACGTCAGCATCAACACAGAATAAAGATACCAAGTTCGATTATTTTTCGGACGAAATCACGGTGCCAGCGCTTTCTAATAGCACCACGTTTCTTCCCCGTAGTCGCGCCACCTCCGCCCTGACAACCGTCGTGCGCACCTCTATTGGTGCGAATAAAACGTTTGTGATTGGCCCATCGGGCGGTCTGGGCCTCTTAAAGAAAAGCGCATTGGATGAAGTTTGAATCAGTCACCATGGGTCATGTGAAACTCCCATTCCCAAAGCCGCAGTGCGCATAGAAAAGAACCACTATAGTTAATGCCATAGGAGAGAAACTGAAAACCATGGCATAGCGTTTCGTTGAATTCGCGGGATAAGAGCTCCATAATTACATATCTTAATATCTAAACATAACCCCCCAAGCCTTTATAGCGCCTAGTACACAAATATTTTCCTACATTAGTGTGTTGCAAACATTACAGAACAAGCACGTTGGAAAAAGCCACGCAAATGAAATATCATTTTCATAGTGGTAAACGGGAAATCAAATAAAAATTTTCCCCAGGGTGGGCTACTTCAAATCGAAATGCTGAGATATTCATGCATCTGATGTAATTTTCGCACGCATCTGACGTAACAATGGCTGAGAAGTATGAAAAAGGTGTGACGCTTCCTTTAGCTAAGCAATCCACCAGCCGTGCACGTCCATTAAATTTGGGCCAGCCAAGGCTCACGTCAAAAGAGAAAAGTGTAGGCAATGACAATGCCAGGCAGTGCTTTGGTCTACCCTTCTCTCATCCAGACCAGTTCGTACAAAGAGGCAACCTTACCGCTCACTCCTTTCACGCTAGCATGTCTGCCGACACCCTATTAGGGTTTGAGTGGATCAACCTGAATCCAACCTGCTGTATACGCCAGAATGCGTCATAGTGTTGCCTGAGACCCTTCATGTCCATCCTCATGTGCACCTCCATGCCCATCTGGCTGACACGCTCCAGACCAGGTATGTCATTATCGAGCCAGTCCCACTCACTTCCCTCGATGTCTATCTTCAGGTAGTCAATGGTTCGCTCCAAGTGACCCAGCTTGGCCCTGAGACCGGTCAGCGTCATCATTTGCCAACCGTTCTTCCTCGTCTCCGTGCGGCCGCCTAGGCCGATCTGGTAGAAGCGGGCGCCAAAATCTGTTGTGTTGCGCGTGTAATTTGTCATGGATGGGTCGAACGCGTAGACTTGACAACCGTAGCGGGTGATGGCACGGTCGAAACTCCACTCGTTCGATATTCCCAACGAGTAGACGAGGCAGTTGCCTGGCGGCGGCGCGCGTCCCTCGTCCAGGCAGACGAACTTATCGCCGTCCACATACTGCGAGCTCTTTATGGCGCCACCGAACATCGTCAGCTTTCGGCAGCACAGCTCCGGGTTCTCCAGGTAGTGGAAGAGCGCCGCCGCCATCGCCTCGTCGCTGTCGGGAACCGGCGGCAGCCCCGGCGGCAGCCCCGGCGGCGGGGCGGCGGGCGCCGACACCGACGCCGCCAGCGGCACGGCGGCGGGCGCCGACACCATCGACGGCAAGGCTGAGACCAACGTCCGGTAGTCCAAGGTGTGCCTGCAGGCCCAGACAGTGCCCCCATCAGCAGCGGCACCTACCTCTCTCTTTTGATAACACAAATCGCTACCCTTTCGGCGGGCTACGCTTTGTCAGTTTCGTTTTTAGTTGAGGCCACACATACTCGAAAGTTCGTGCGTAATGCGCCATTACGTGTTACGGTAGAGGAGAACAGCAGACGGCTAAGCTCAGTATAGAAGGCTCCGCTCGCCATCGTTGTGCAATCAGCCAACAGTTTGTCTTCTGGCTGACGTCACAAACACACCAGTTCGTAAACTGCAGTTCAATTGGGGCTTTCTCAATCATGAATTTCGGCCACGTAAAAAATGTGACATACATTATAGGACCGGCAACAACGGCGCGTACCTCTGCACGCAAGACCACTCAATTAGTTAGACCTTGTACAAATTGCAGCAGTATAACTTGGCGGGATAATATCCATGCAAACCTCAAATAGACATGCAGCAAAAAATATCATTCGCAAAAACGCGTATTCACGCGTACTCCAGACACATGATTTGTGAGCTAGAATATCACGTTCTGGCAGAGTGGTGTTATCCATTACGTTTCGCGAGGAGACGATGCGAACGGAAACAAGAAAAGACGAAGATTTCCCTCTCCAGTAGAAGGTAAGAAGACTGAAGGCATGACGCATCGCGGCATTGGTACTGAGATGGCCACATCGGCGTCTGCCTCGTCGAAACTTGAGATCAGACCTACGTACCCAGCCCTGTGAGAGGCGTTTTATATAGTGCACCTGTGGTATATGCAATTCATGTCTGCACAGTGAGCTAGAATCGTTTTTGAACTAGGGTGTCAGTGAAAAGTTCCATCGCAAAAAACCGTACAGGAGTAAAAAATTCAATTTACAATAGTTGAAACTTGTTAGTCAGTGAGAGGTGCTCCAGCAAACAAAGAGACACATTTGGCGTTAGCATGGACGTAATATCATAGACATGACAAAAAGTTTTTTGTTTTTTAACATCTTAGGTCATTAAAATGAAACAGAATAAGTTAAAGGAAAGCAATGTGATGAAGTAAAAAAGTGTGGCGAGCACCAACAACTATGTAGCAGCAATGTTTTGATGCTGCACTTTGCACTTCACTTCCACAGGATTTTTAGCACAACACAAGCAAAGGGATTCAGCAACAAAAACAACAACCAAAAATTCAACAATCATAAAGCATTCAAACAAAAGAGTCTTAGACTTCCGCACATGAACACATCACTTACGCAAACAAACAACAGACATGCCTCTGGTTTCTGATAAGATGGAGTCAGGAAATGGAAATATGATGTCGCTGTTTCTTGCAAAATACCACTGCTTATTTCCAGGAAAGTAACTGAATTATGCCTAGCCTAACGAATCCTCACCTCATCTCGTCATGCCTTACCTATTTGTATCAAAAAAGAATTTGTGAGTCACTGATTCCTGCAAAATTCCTACTGCCGCTCGCCACAGAATTAACCAACTTAAACTAACCTAGAGTAGCACACATCTTGAGCATCCTCTCAATTCACCTCACCTATTTACTGACAGCAACACTTGTGATACAAACATGATAAAGCTTATTTTTGGTTGGTTTCAACTTGCATTTTGGTTCAATTAATTTGTGTCGGCTTTTTGACACCAGACGAAGTTGACAACACACAAATCAAAACCCCTCCGATCACTTTGAACAACTTATTATGTTTGTCATGGTTAGCCTCTGTCATGGACAACATTGGGTATGCTCCACAAAACAATCTCTCTCCTCCAAACGTAACATAACTTAAAGATGACCACAAACCAGTTTTGTCTTTTCAGCTGTAGCAAAAGCATCTAGTTAGGTTTTATTATTCATATTTAAATACTTCAATTTTGAGATATTGGGTCCGCATTTAAAATGAGATGGTCTGGCTATTTGCTCAAAACTGATATCTACCTCACCTTGTAATTGCAATGCAGCTTAAAGTGTTCCCGTGTTCGGAAATATAGCGCGTATCTACAGTGCAGTCATTTGCCAGTCAGACCAACGCAACCATAGCCAACATCTTGTTCAAGCAGACATGAGGGACCGCTTCAACAACCCCGAGACAAATAATCAAGAGAATGGAGCAAACTAGTTAAATTTCATGGGTTGTGGTATCATAATCTGTCTTATGGACAAAACGCGATGGGTCAAAGGGAAAGTGGCCAAATCTAGTCACAAATGATGTATTGAAAACAGCTTACGGCAAAAGTTAGCAATTAGGTGCTCCACAGGATAAACTTACTGGCTTTTTAAGGGCTTGATTCTTGCTGCTCCTCCACAATTGGTTTGCTGAGAGACAGGGTCATCCAACCCACCCACAAAATATAAGTATCCATCATGCCCAGCAACCTAAAAAATTGAAATTCAAAATAAGTAAGAGGAGGTTCGCATGAGAAAACGCAATTACGAAGGGCAAACTTTCGTTACCAAACACTTCTGTATTAGCTGCGCCAAGTCTGTCCCAAAGCTATGTACGACAGGATATTGTAGCGTGGTGAGGCAGTGAAACTGGAATGTCTTAGATTCATCATTATTGAGCCGCGCCATGAACCAATAAACGGCAAAATGGGAGTTTAACAAGGCAAAAATGGCAGTAGAAATGAGCTGCGTGCTTCAAATTGTCTCCTTCACTTCCTATGAATTATTCACTCCTGGGTGCACATGAAGCATGTTTGGGCGGCTGGCGACTTAATCTAATTCATGTATGAAAAATGAGCAGGTTTGCAGTTGAACCAGTTTGTAGAGAAATTAGTCAAAATTTTAAGCGATAGACGGCGTATTGAAAGGAAATAGGAAATGAAGGAAAAATGAAGTTGTATGACGTTCGCATGGCACCAAGAAAAGCAAAAATCAGTAAATGAATATAAAGACATCATTTTTGGTCAAATTGTTTTGTCAACTCATTTGGCTAAAAAGCCTGTGAAATGACCACTGAAACGGTAATGTTCAGCTTCTATATTTCATTTAGAAGGTATTTCTTGAATTTTCCACTTCCACATTTCGGGAGTTGTGTAATTTGGAAGTCAACTTTCTTCGGGTAAAAAAATACGTGGGGTAAAATTACCTACCAGGCTACAGACACCGCTTTCTGGCGGTGTCTGTCTGGCGCGACCCAAAAAATCGTGGGTGCGCGAATGCTTCGCAGTTGGCACACAGCTGTAAATTGCGATGCATTTCGGAAGCAAACCAAACTCGATGCAAGCAAGCGGCTGGGAGCGTCGGGGCTCTCGGGGTTGACGGTCCCCTGCGTCCGTGCTCTGCGCATACATAGGCATGATACAGATGTAGGATATGGCCATAGGATATGGCCATGGTGTCCAGGTTCTGTGGAGCCTTGTTCATGCTTGATGGTTTGCAGTGAGCTCGGCTTTGGATGACATCTTAAAATCCCTGAAAGGGAAATATGGGTTTGGTATGTGTGGAAAAACAATAGCAGGTAGGAATAAAAAATTCACATTAAGTGTGGCGAAAAGGAGTGAAAAATTCCTTCTCATAGGGTGCTGCTTTACAGTTAAAGCCGGCTATTCTAGGACACTTTGCTTCATCAAGGAATATGACATATTAACACACGCAGGTGCTTGTAGCGCCATTCTCACCATGAGTACTAGAACACAACGAACGCCACATATCGATCAATAGAGGTGCTTTTGGTGACTCGTTGCAACTTAAGTCTTTGACCTTCTAGTAGATCTTGATTATTTTACCCCGTTTACGAAAAATTACTGCAGAAATGGGCATCCTTACATCCTAAACCCTAAAACATTGTTACACGGAGCGTGTTCCAGAAGTGTTACACGAGAGCGATTTCCACATCGCTCTTGAAAAGTGTGCGGATGTGGGGGTGGGGGTGGGGGAGGGGAGAAGCCGATGACCCAGTCAAGCATACGAGGGCCTACTCCCCTAATTTTAGACCACGCTAGTTTTGGACCACCTCATTTTGGCCCACCGCTATCGGTTTTTTTTAAAAGAACAGTAACGAAATTTTCGCGAACAATTGGCACACAGACCCGGTGGCAGTTGGAAACCTTTTCCCTCCTTTTGACCAGCCGAAGGTGTACGACATTTTGGCTGAAGCTTAAGCATGTGTCCCCTTTGGAAAGATTATCCGATGCACTATTCCACTGATTGGTCACAACCGAATAACCTGCAGTCCAAAACAACCAGCCAACACCGTTACTCTTTCATGCTGAAACTCACCCCGTCTTTCGTTATCTATTTTGACGTATCAAAGGCGATCTTTTTTCACTCCAGCGTCTGTGGCCGGTTGAAAACATACTGGCATGTGTTTCCGCTTTAATCGGCGTAACCATGACTGAAATGCTGATGGGACCCATTCATATTTTGGCGCCACTTATATGGCTGAAAGAAACTGACCACCTGCTACGCTTTTTTGAAACTCATTGCCAACCCAAACAACTCAGGCTGAAAACGCAAAGTATTCAAACGAGAAGTAGAAAGTAAGTAAAAGTAAAGTGATCGCAAAGTAAAACCTTTTCCACCAAGCGCAAAACACATCAGCGGCATTTTTCATGCGCGAGATTCGCAGAAATTTTGTGTAAAAACGTCTTCATCAGCAGCACCGTTTCGGAAAACAAAATTACGTCCAAACTTCACAAAGTACAGCTAAATTGTGCACGGGTATCATCAGCACGTCCAAGGGGCTCATGCCACATACCAAGTAGTCTATGACCGTTCCCAGATTCTCCAGGTCAACCCAGGCATCCAGTCTTATCGTAGTCATGCATTTCAGCAAAGGGAGCTATGGTACTGCCTGCTCCGAAAGAGTTTCTTATTGGGCATCCTGGATCCAACTGACCCCGTCTTGTATTTCCAGACCCCGCTTCGGACTACTCTAAGCCCCAGGCTCAAAGGAACCGCCCATGAGGTTTTTCGGGGAGGTGAATGAGACTAGGGCATTGCGGAATCTCCAGCCATGCCCTGAGCGTCCAGTGGGCCCGTGGGCGACCAGAGAGGCATATCAGTTGTCGGAGGCAGAGTGGCCATCATTGGCTAGACAGGCCCCTGGGCGGCAAGAAGGGCACTAAAAAGAAAGAGGTCCTTCCGTGTTTATTTCGAGCATTGGGCGTCCAGAGGGCTCATGAACGGTCGGAACGACCCACGAACAATGAAAAGGGCCCACGAACAGCCGTTCTTGGGCGGTAGTAGCGGCTAAAAGCGCCCTAAACAGCTAAGAAGACTCCGGATGTCTAGAAGGTCACGAGCGCACAACTAAAAACGCTGGTGACCAAACGGCCGTTGAACGGGCCGGAGGGCCCTGAGTCGTCAGATGAGCACTTATGGGCTAGAAGGGCTCCTGAGTAAGCAGAGATATCCATTTATGATCGGTGGGGACCCTTTGCGGGCCGCCAGTGGGGTCCCTGAACAGCTAAGGGAAACCCTGCCGCCCATGAACTCCTATATGACCAGGGGGTCATCCGTGGGCAAAAGAGCCTGACCATCTAAGTCGGCCCACCTGTGGTACACAGAGGTCCGAGGGGCGCAATCAGGGTCTTGCGGGGAAGCACAGGGTTGACAAAGGGACCCCGGATGGTGGGACCCCACTCACAAAAAAATCCCCTGATATCCCTCATCTAAATTCGAGGAGGCACAATTTTCTCCGTTTCATCATTCTCTTTTAATTTGGTTAACGTGAAAAGAGGCCAGATGCCACTGTAAGATGTAACTACGTTTGTATTTTGAGCCCAATACACTGAAGAAACATTTTAAAAGCAGAGTGACCTTAGCAGTCAACACGGCCTTACACCTCGATCAACAACAAAAGGTGAAGGAACGAGGTTTTAAATGATTCGACGGAACATCTCACGCTCTCTTTTCATTTCCAATGGCTTAGCGCACTCTTTCTAACACCAAACAGAGCTTTTAGGTGCTTTTACGGATTTTTCCGGCTTCTACCCGGTAGGGCACCTCACGGACTGCTTCAATCCGCGGATCGTGGCTACATCCGCGGGACGGATCGGACCGGATCGTGGCTACATCCGCGGGACGGATCGGACCGGATCGTGGCTACATCCGCGGGACGGATCGGACCGGATCGTGGCTACATTCGCGGGACGGATCGGACCGGATCGTGGCTACATTCGCGGGACGGATCGGACCGGATCGTGACTACATCCGCGGGACGGATCGGACCGGATCGTGGCTACATCCGCGGGACGGATCGGACCGGATCGTGGCTACATCCGCGGGACGGATCGGACCGGATCAGAAATCTCCACCAAAACACGGGTTGGGACCGGACTGGATTCTCGACTTTGCCAGCTAACACGAGCTGAAAACTAATTATGCGTTTGTGCTTATGGCGTCCTATCAAACGCAGCGTATTATTTTCGAAAGCGCACAACACCTCGCCAGGGACGCAGAGTTCGCGGAAATATGATCGTGTCCAATTTGGAGCCTGCCTTGGCAGTTGGTTGTAGCGCGCTACGGCTGTCTACAGGAGGTGGACGCACGTCGATGTGCATTTAACACGAGCGGAAACTCCGCCGCCGCACTTCCTTTCGGTGCCTGTAATCGCGAGGAGTCCGTGGGACGTCGGTCACTTCGACCCCACGGCTGGCGTTTTTGCGACGCGCAAAAACGCCAGCGCATGCGCGGCGTGACTTCGCTTGCGGCAATCTGTTCGTCGGCACCGCCGAGCAGCCCAGATGAACAGATGGCGGCCGCTCACAGCCGGCGGCTAACGCGCAACCAAATATATCATGGTGAGCTCACAACATTACTGATTGCCGTCAGATGAGTACATGCTCAGAGTCCGGAGGAGTACGTATGAGTACGTATGACGGCGCCGAGTCGGGAGTCTACGCCACTCCCAGACCTTGCTACCCACTCACCAACGGTGGGAAACCAAGGTGAAGGTGGACAAAACGATGGCCGCCACCAACAGCACTCGCACTATCCCTGGCCCAGGCTTGTTCATGGCACAGGCGACGCTGCTGCGGTCGGAGACAGCACTGCCGAAGAATGACAAGTGTCAACAAGTCGCCTCCCTGAATCCCTGACATGGCCAATTAGGAAGCAGTAGAAACGAATTTTGGACACAGAAATCTGACAAGTAAAGATTATTTGAGAACCCGATAGTGCTCGGTTCCAAACGAACCAGCGCAACTCGTTCCATTCTCTCGAACGTTGCGAGGCCTCCCTTATATCGGACTCTGCATGTTACATGTGAATGTTATGATCGTTGTCAAAGCCTACTGGTCATGATGCAAAATAAACAATACATGATCCGCAGTGCCAGCGCTGGAGATCGCTGGCACAACATGGCAAAATGTGAGGTTTGCAGGCACCGGAACCAATCTGTGACAATGCCCCGCATTCAAATGCAAAAGTAGCACGCGAGGAAAACATGAAACATGGTACCATCTACATGATCCCTGACAACTCTCGAGACTGTCGCCCCCCCTCCCTCCCCCCTCCTGGTCGTCACATACCGTGCGCGGTGTCTTACTGATCACAGGGACGCGAAGTTTGATGATGTACTTATTCCACTCTAGCTAACGCTACCTACGTAAATTTATGCTAAACTGATTTTCTCCGTGGCGTGCGCAAGGTTTTTGCCGGCGCCTTGAGGTTCAAGAGGAACATTTGGATTTATGCTTCAAAAAATCCGAAGGAGATATCTCTCAAAAATATCGTCGGTCAACCTTGCCCTTACGCAAAATCACCGTTTAAACGGCTCATTTAGGTGGACATCGCCTCGAGCCCGCACAACGGGTAACTGAGGCACTATGCGAAAAACCAACTCACTACAGTCGTACGGCGAATGCTATCGCTTAACGTCAATTCGCAAATACGCAACTTTTGACACTGGCCACCGCCGACAAAACTTGCGCAATGACCAACAACGAACCTGCATGTGGGCAATCCTCAAAATGTCCACGTCACTTGAACGGCAAGCCATGTTAAAATGGCACATCACGTGCCTAACGTGCCACCACCACAAAGACCATCTGCGTCTCTCCTGTGAAATGCTTCTCCCTTCCCGCACGGCCTGAAGTCTCACGTACCCTCGAGCGAGCTTCTGTCGTAGCCCGTCTCCACCCTTCCTACTGCGGGCGATGCGCGCCTCCGACCGGCCGCGCAGTAGGACTGAGAGAGCGCTGCATCGCGAGTGAGGCGTCGCGACGGTGGCGGCGCTGCCATGTGCGGCCCCGGGCGGCCCAGTGTCCGACTTACACAAGGTGATGCGCCGGATGGCGGCGCGGAGGTGTGTGCAGTAGGGATGCACAAACACGCCTGCTAGCCTGCAACGTTAGTGAGAGAGGAACACGTGGAAGGCCCTCCTTGTGAGACAGTTTTAATTTCTACTTATCACGACAAAAGAGAATTTGATGAATTTAGAAGAAGAAAAAAGCTTAACAACACGTCAAACAACCTACAACTTGTTTTGGCACCAACAACTCATTCAAACGGCTGACACCTGTCAACTAATTAGTTGTGTTATGAGTGTACCCGACTTAGGGCATCCTCCGAGTCGTTTACACGAGACAGCCCTATTGAATTTGCTTTGGCTTACAAGACAGACCCATAGGCAGCGTGAAGGAGGCGATATAGCGAATTTGACGGACGCGTTTCAAGCGCAGCAGAAAAAAGTTTGAAAACCTAACCAACCAGCATAGCAAAACGCTTTGAGACTTGCCATATCATGTGCCAGCCGTGGGGCACAATGTCGTGTTGTGCTATGTAATGTGTCGCTTCAGCTTTATCGATAGAAAAACAAGTTCAAAGTCTGCCAACGCGTGGGAAGGAGAATGGTTGCTACAGCACGAAAGGCATGCACGATGCGGCTAAAGTGATTGCAAGTTTCAAGGTGAGATTCAGAACTTTAAAAAGCAACAGATACCTGTCCGTAGTGTTGAAACCGTGGTCGTGCTTAATACAGCTTTTGGAATGGATTGCAAGTGGCAGGTGGCACTTGGATGCAACGAACTACTGGTAAGCCGCGAATTATCAATCATTTTAGATACACTGGAATTATCTCAGAAAGCGACGCTGGGCGGCGTGATCTGTCATTGCTACGCGACCTGGCTGGACACTTTTTGTTGCCTTGTTGGCTATGAGCATATGAACAGATGTTTTACCGTCGAGTAATTTGTGACGTCAATGAACTTGGCGTGTGGTTCAAATCACCATCGTTATGCTCCAAGCCTTATGCTGGGACAGAACCAGTTAGCAATTTCAACAAGGTGTATGATTTAGACTGCATCATGTGTTAAGAAGATATCATAGGTTTATAACACACCAACTTATTCCGATGTGTTAGCGCCCCTTTATGATTTGAAATCACAAGTCCAACTGAGAAAAACTATTGTGACGGAGGCATACAAACATAAAGGTGGTCATAGTAGTATTGGTATTAATGTTTCGAGGAGAATGTACCCAGTACATTAAGCTGTCCTGATCTGCTTCTTGCCTTCGTCCTTTACGTTTAGATTGTGAGACCGCTACACTGAAAAAAAACGCTAAAAACCCATGTGCAAGGTCAACAAAATCACATCCCTGCACGGTGTTCGCTTCAGGGAGTGGTGTAAACACCTTTGGGGAATAATCAAGAAGTCTTTTGACACCGAAAAAATTGCGCCCCCAAAACCCCCAGTGCAGGGCCGGTCAAACTGCATTCCTGCGCGGTGTCGTTTTAAGGAGTGGCGTCATATCCCTTTACAAGAATCTTTTGACACTATGGTGGGTATTCATTTGACCTGCTGATGATGCCCTGAGATTGAAACGTTCTGTAAATGGAGTCGCGTTTGTACACCTCGCATTCCCTAAATGCATGTGGTCAACGGACCGTCACACCTGTACAGTGCGTATTCATTTTCATCGAACACACAAAATGTGGACGGATTGGAGTGTATTTTGACATATAAAACGCTCAAACTACTGAAGATCAGTCATAAGCTGACTCAGCTATCCAACATCAGTGAACAAAGCACATGGACCACAGAGCCGAACCTCAAGTCAGGTCAGGTTCGAGACTTCAAATCATCCCTGCACACCAGATCAGCTGGCGTCAGCCGGCCACGCGGGCCTCACCAAGCTGCCCGGCATCAGCAAACCGACCACGTCAGCCACAGGGTCAACCAGCCTTCACAACAAATGAAAACTTGGTGAAACTCGCCAGACTGACTGAGAAAAATCACTGAAAACATGACAAAAAAGGACTTAAGCGACCTGGCCTTCTGAACATCTGAGCTGCGAGATCAGCTGTGACAATTAAACAGACTGATCGACATCACCAACCTCGCACAGATCACAAGAAACCTTAAACACTATAGCTGAACATATGACAGCTAACCTCGGTCGACCCGCTGTCACCCAACAAAAATACGAAGGGCCGTGCCGGTGGCCCGCAGCAGCGTTAATCTAGATGATGATGCACCCATGACCCGCACTGTTGGCGCAGGCAAACCCGACTGGTACATCAGATGTGTCGTCCACTAAACGAGCCTTTTCAACAGCTCCTGGATTTTCTTCAGGCGTCCTGGAGACTGCCGAATCTCACATACGGTCCGTTCATTGAATACCACCACTGACTGTTTTTGCTGATCACTTCCGGGCGAAGACGCACTGGGGCGGAACGAACAGATGGAACGCCCTCTTCTCGTCTCCAACAGCGCACACACCAAAGCTCTCCACAACTAGACCAGACTGCGGGTCGTCCGAGCAAAGGCACGGCCGGGATGCATCTCCGTCCTCCAGCAAGACGTCTCTCCACGCGCTGTCCAAGCACCCGTCGAGAACGCTTCCAGCGATCCTTGAAGCATATCACATTCCTGGAGTACCGACCATACCATGGTGGCGTCGCGCACTACAGACACCATGATACTTTCCACACACTTAGTTCTTACATGGCTATTACAGGAAATGTAATAGATAATGAAGATAATGAAGCAAGCACCAGACATGATGTAATAAACTTACTTAACACGCGCCCGGGTGGCCGGTTGAATACCCTTCGCTCGGGTGGCGTGGCGGTAAACTTGACCCCCCGCAATCTCAGAAACTAAGAGAGCTGGAGACACTAGACTCACCGGGTGTGTTGGCCTGTACGTGAACTTACTTGGGTCAAAGTTTAAGTTTCTTAGGGTATGGCCTTCGATCAAACAAGGTTAAACAAAGCCAAAATCCAGGTTGGCATCCAAAGTGTCCTCAGAACCTAGATACGTGCTCTGAGCAAAAGGTCACATGCTCATTTATGACCAGTGGCCTTGTTTTAACCTTTCGATGGTCATGTGACTAAAATCGTACAAGTCCGCTTTGAGTTTTGAATATGAATAAGCCGCAAATATTGCGTTAAGCAGTATGTTTCTAAAACCAGGATGTTGACTTGGGCCATTTTAGTTCAGTGACCTATTCTGACCTCTACAAGTCTATGGAAGATGTATAATGCGGCTCCTGTTGCCAAAAACCACGAAATGGGCATCAGAAATTACCGCATGCAGTAACCCTAAAGTAAAAAACAGGTCGGTTTTGACCCCGGGCTGCCCTTTATACCTGACCTTAGGTCGATCGAATGTGTTCATTCAATCATTGTGTTGCCTAAAAGGTATCTCATATTTGTACGTCCTTGGCTAAAACTCCGTTGTTGCATCAGATTGAACAATTCACTAGAAATTGACTTCGATTGAGTTGTAACCTGACTTTGGCTTGCCGTAGGTCAACGACCTTCCAAGGTGCATTCAGTTATTTTATATAGAACAATTAGCTACTCAGTTGTCTACAGCTATGCAAAATTGGCCCAACAATTAGACTTTCTTGTCCTTGATCGCTACATGGCCAATGGAATGGGAGGATTTGAGGAGCATTATAATAGCGTCGATGCCTAGGTGACCTTGAAAAAGTATGTGCCTTTTCGTGGGCGTGTGACTCAAAAACTAAAGGGTTTTAGGTCTTTAAAGGAAATGTTCCATCGTCATATGGGGCTTTGAACTGAAATAGCCATGTTAAGGACCTTCTGATGCATTTCACGGTCATGCCCTTTTTAAGATCCAAAGTCCTCTCGTTTCTAAGTTACACGCCCGCAAAGTGGCAAAAGGTTTCTCGAGGGACTATTTCAAAGCCACCTCCGAAATGATGATGTCATAGAGATGCCATACGATCGCCGTGATATTATTGACTGCTTTCTGCTTATGGTCAAAAACAGCATGGTCGTTGATACATTCGCAAAAGCAATGATGCAGCACATGTGATATAATCTGCGGAAGGCAATTGGCTGCAAGTAAGATTTCTCTGCTGAATGCGTGTCGCGAACGCAAGCGCGAGCACTTTCGGGTTGTGCGGCATTCCTTGTCAACGGGGTATTTTTCCATATATCTAGGTCATGGGCCAAAGTTATAAAAAGAAGGCCACTGTGTGCCAAAAATACGTCACCGAAAAAAGAATGGCGCTCTCCCGAATGTTTTGAAAAGAAGACGCGACGGCAGCTCTGTCCTTTTTCTCCTGCTGGTGTTTTTTTTCTTTTTCTACTCACGTATTTCCTATGGACAGCTCGTTTAGCGCCTTGTGCTCCAAAGCAAAAAATCTTGCACAGGTTTTTGGGTCAGTAAGGCAATGTAAAATTAGGGAAAGATAACAGTAATTTTATGTATACATTTTGCCAAATATTTAACGCATATTGCACGCAAAATTTAAACCTTGAACAAAAATATTGTGTTCTTCAAGTACAACCTCTTGAGCTGCATTACCATGAACCCCCGTCGGGATTTCGTTTGGAAGGGAGCCCAGGGTGAAATCCGGTGTTGTGACTGGAAACCTGTGCGGAAATTGTGAGAAAACCTGCAATTTGCTGGTCCCGCGATCTGTGCAAGTGTGGAATCACACATATTTCATAAAAGAGTGTGAAGCAGGGGCTTGAAATGGGTGTGATCACTGATGGTGCGTGACAGTGGCTTCTATTGATCTTGATGTGATGGGAAATGTGCGTGCGAGTGTTGTACTTCTGAGAGAGAGGATATTGTTTTTTTGTATTCTTTTAAGCTACTGACTCCCGATAAAATATGATCTATCGATACCTGCCCCTGTCTATGTTCGCGTTTGAACAGGACGAGGTGGTGATGCTCGTAAACTGAAAGAAGCACCAGCACCTATGTTGCCG